ATCTTATGTAAGGATTACGATAGGTTTACGGTACTATGGGAAAAATTTTAGAATGCATCAGATTTTGCTGAAACTTGGCCAATACGGCTTATTTGACATGCCGATCACAAAAATGAGATCCGTTTCGCACGAAAAGGCCTTGTTCGTGAAATCAAAAAACGAATTTTATTTTAGCGACAAATGAATATGATATTCGTGTTTACCGTATAGGGTTACCCTACAGTGCAAAGTTATAGCGAATTCTGACTTTTCGCAGCTTAGTTATTGACAAATTGCCTTCAAAACTTGACGCATTTGACTTGTTTAACTTCTCAAAGGTGCCCCACCTTAATTTGTGTTTAAATTTCATTTCTTTTTCACTGATTCCAATGTGCCAACTTCCAGCTACATGCTACCTATAATTGCTTTTTCATATGTTTGAATCAGGTTTCGTAGGGCTTCATGTTTGCCAAAAAATCGTGAAACCTCGATTTTCAGCAGTTTTCAAGAAATGCTTAGATTTTTTGTACTACGTTATCAAAAATCAAACGGTTTGCGCAGAGTTGCAGCTTACATCACGATCTACATGATGCCAGAAAATGAGATTGCTACATAAAATAGGAAAAAAGTTATGGGAAAAGTTGCAAAACTTATGTGCCAACCTAATATCTATACTCTGCGAGCCCTGACAATACTAATTCAGTCTCTTATAATCCGAACAGTTCATTCGCACCTGAGGATGAGTCCTACAATTTGTCTTTTTCTCCTTTTTTAGCTCTCAGAGGTTTAAAAGCATGATTTGAACTTAGGATATTTCAAGCTAATAGGATATGCTATGGATACATTGTAGACCAAAAATGGGATTTATGATGTTGTGTAGGACTCATTTAGTAATTTTAATGATGCTGCTTCATGTGACTTGTAAAACTGTTTAGTTATGGCTTGGTTCACATGAAATATTATCTCACTCATGCTGATTACTGTAACTATCCATATCTTTATAGAGAAATTTCTGGGGAAAACTTTCAAAATAGAGCGTCATGTAGGCCCTCGATTTAAATCCCGTAAGTTTGCTGAGATCTAATTGTAAAGGTTTCGCATACCAAAAATAACACCATTATTGACTGAAGGTTAAGTCATTCTACTCTCTAACGTCAAACTATTCGAGCTTAAACTAGAAAACTAATTATTTATTCAGTATTCTGGAGTAGCTGTGGACTGATTTTTGGGCAAAGTGCAATATCTCGGGTGTATGTCAAGAGGCGCGATTTTTATTGCCAGCCAGGTATAGAAGATAGCTGCACAGGCTGTCTAATCTAATCATCTCGAAAAAGATCCAAAACATGAACTTTGGAGATCGAAAACCCATGAAAATGCAAATAATGGGAGATTCGTGAGTATTTCGCTCATTTTTGCAGCAAAAGCCGTGAAACTTAGTAAATGGTAATTTCGAATAGCTAATAAGCTAAACCACTTTATCTGAGAATTTTTGAAAATTTGCGTAGCCCAGAAATGGACCTTTAAGTTGGTGACAGCCAGAAAAAGCGCGCCTCTTGACCGTCTCCCCAATATCTCTTGCTTTAAGTTATTACAACAAATGCACAAAAACCAGAGTGAGAGCAAAACAGCGGGTTTCTTTGGCACGGCGAACGCTTTATATTCATTGCATGTGATGACATTTCTGTAGTAGATTAGATGTACGGTAGTCGTCCATCTCAGTACTAGAAAGAGGTGAAATGCGTTTTGATTACGTTTTTTTTTTCAAAATGCAGTGATATTCATTCTAAATGAGGATTAGGAGATTTGAGAGCTTGCAAATTTTTCAGTAAAAACTTTGCTGACAACTCTTCTCTAGTTTTCATTTCCCTTATGATTGTTCGTTTCCATAGTAATATTTTCTTCCCAATCTTAGATAGCAGGAAGCCGAGAGCTTCGATTCAAAACGTTTATCTATCTTTTTCAATCCCAATTACTCGGCAAATTGATACTGTCCGTGTTATGCTAGCGTCACACTCTAGACTACAATGCTGTGAGCGTCTTATTTTGTAAAATCAAGCCTGAGAGTCTCTATTTCCAATTTTCTAAAAATTTAATCATGAACACTGATTTTGTTTTCCTTTTAGTCAAACTCAAAAACTAAATCTTTGGAATTTAAATGCTGTAAAAGTGCAAAGAGAATTTGTGGAAAAAAGGAAGTTTTTCAGAAATGAGTGCTGAATAAACACTGAATCAAGGAATTAACCATTGTAAGGAAATCAAACAACTGTTTGGTAAGAGGGATGAATCAGTACCAGATGAACCGAACTAAATGTGAGAACTTCTAAATCGTGATTGTTCCTGAAAGAACGAATGAATAATTTTTCGAGAAGATATGAATGGTAAAAAATCGAGCTGAGATCTTGGTTCCATATTCTAGTAATCTAGTAGTAGTAGTTTGATTTATGACTGTTCTCGCCTTTCCATATCAAGTTCATCCCAGTCTCAAAAATTACTGGTATCGCACTAGTTTGAGTCTCTTTTTCTTTTTTCGATGCACTTTACGTGAATTAATGAATAAACAAATGAACAAATGACCGTGGATATCCGATATGATTTAGTTCTCAGATAGATGAGCTAAAAATTCTAACTATAAGGTCTTTTATGACCACCATCTCTCTTGCAACTCATCCTTTACTAATCAAATGTGTGGAGAAGCTGTATTGCAGTCACGTTTTTCTCTTAGCTTTCATTGAAAATTATCCACAAGCAATCAAATTTCTCGACATACACGCACGCACCTTGACGTGAGTGCCTTTGTCTGTTGCAAATTCCTTTTCTGATTCTTATTTTGAAGAGTGTCGATCTAGAGGATTATTTTCTTATCCAAATCTTAAGACCAACCGTACCTAACCAACGCTTGGCTTATAGAAACTTGGATAAAAGCCAAATAATCTTGGTCGTATTAGTTATAGAAAGCTGCTTGTCAAGCAGTGTTGGTATGATTCCTTTCCTTCTCTAATAAACATTGAAGCTTCTCCATCATAGAAGGAGCGAACGAAAAAAATTTGTTCATACATCAAAGATTTTTTAAGGTTCTACGAAAACCAGAACTGTAATAAGACACAGATTATGTTGGAAATTGATGCGACATTCCATTTGTTAACGTCATAGTTTTTGCTATTTGATACCCATCATTGTAATTTTGAGTAAACATACTATTAAATTTATTCTCGAAAAAAAAGGCGCTATAGTGAGCGCCTAATAAGCGCTTTGTAACCAAGCATTATGCGTTAGGGTGTGAAGAATGATGACAGAGTAGATATATATTCTCATAACTTCCGATAAGCGATGAGCTGAAGTGAGCTTTGGTCATTTTTGGCCTGACTCTTTTTCTTTATAGCCAATTATAGTACTGTGCAAGATCTGTTTTTTTTGACGACTGATTACTTCCTTCACTTAAAAATTGATTTTGGTACTTCGGTACCATCGGTACTACGCAGTTTATGCTTCTCAAGCAAGACCAAATCTTCAAGTGAAATATTTCCTGCATATTTTAATAAATGCAAGCTCTTTGGAAAAATTTTCTTTTTATACCCGTCCTACTTTTGTACTGTAATACTCATATAATCTTATCTTTTTATCTCCTATTCGCTGCTAGCTGAGTTTTCATACGACTCTCTGGAAAAGCATTATAATTTCAATCATATCCCTAACTACCTATTGCTGATTAAGATTTTTGCTCCAGCCTTCATACCGAAAAAATAAATGGAAAATTACGATATTTTCGTTATACTAAATGAATCAATCGTTGAAACTTCAAAAACTTATTGGAGGAATGTAGCACCGATATTTTGTCGTTGGAGATGTCAGTGCTCCTTAGACCAAAAATCAAAAAATCTTAGAAATTATGACGTCACACCATCAAAACAGGCAAGGATTTTACTGAAAAAAAAGAACTAGACACGTAACTGAGTAAGAAATGTAAAATAATTATTCTGTTCAATCCGCTCTATCTATGCTATCAGAATTAAAGAATGGAACAAAAATTGGGGGAAGTAAATAGTTATTTTAGAGCGGAGTAAAAATAACGCACTCTTTAATTTTTTCAAATCACGTCCCAAAAGCACTTATCCATGAGAGCCAGAAAAGTGAAAAGCATTGAATATGTTACGATTTATGAGATTTGCCAGGTGCAAAAAATCACTTCCGGAAAGAGCTGTAAATGAATCTAATTACTCCATTGCTCTATCATTATGTCGAAAAAGTGGCAGCTAAGTGCTTCGATGACGTTTTTTAAAAATCCCTCTGTACACAACAGGTGTTCCTTACAGCTGCTCTGATAGCCGTCGAGTAAAAAAGTGTCGATTGTCTCTTCATAAATCCTCTTTGCTCCACCTCAAATGTGCACATTTTTCGCGCTTATGGCTCATTATTCGCCTAGAAAGCGCTGATGGTGAGTTTCGGCAATGACGAGGCGCTTCGCACTTCCTTGGGCTTTTTTGGGTTATCGTCTGCCCACATGCCATTTTCAAAGCTTTGCTGATTTATTGGCACAGTTTGAGCAGAACATTCTCCTGAGATTATTTGATGCTGCAATTGTTTACTTTTCTGTTCCATTATCAAAAATCTATCGTACATCAAAAATAAATCATGTTAGTTTTTTTAGTTTTGTTTTTCTAAGGGTCTTGCACCGAAGAAGTACAAAGAATTATAGGAAATGTTCAGGGAACGATTCGGTTTATATTGCATAAGTTCCCCTTTGTACAGCGAATGTTTTATACGATTTTTCATACTAGCGATTTCAAGAAATGATAAACCTAGATTAAATTCTGAATTTATACGAACCTTGAACGAAAATAATTGAAGATGAAATTCTCTAAATGATTCTTGGAACAACCATCGCAAGAAAGCGTTTCTCGTCCTCATCATTTTCTTTTCACTTTTTTTTCTTTTTTGCACTTTCTTTTTCTCCCCGACATTTTCGTACGTTTCGAAAATGATACGTGGTCCGCCCCTTCCCCTTTGAAAAAGTTACTTTTCAGATGTCAAACTCATTCGATTGGCAGGAAAATTCACTGCATGTATGGATGATGGTATCACGAGTACAATTCTGGCTTATACTTATCATTATATTCGTGTCAGTAGCCGTTATTGCTAGGGTAAGTCGTAAGCGTTCTAAAAAATTTTATGCGAGGAAAAATTAGGTTCTAAACGTATGGAAAAAATCCTACAAATTTCACAAGCTCAAATAAGGTTCAGCATTTTTGTTTTTATATGAACAGCAATCGAGATGCTGACTTTCGTAAAGTTTTTTTCTGATTTATCAGTTTTGTTTGTCATTGAGCAGATTATGAGTGTCAGATCCGTAATCTTTGCATCAAAAGTAAGGAAATTTTACCACTGAGAAGTTTGCAAAAATGTTTTTTGTGAAATACAAATAATGTTCAGCCTTATCATGCATATTAGAAAATTTACTGAAATATGATTCGAATTCCAAATGAAGATCCTTGCAATAATATGTATCATCCGTGAATATGTTCCATTTAAGCCAAATTTTTTAGTTTGGAATGACTTTTAGTGGGACCATAATTCCAAAAAATCAAATTTTATTGGGTCCCTCAGCCAGCACCAAGGAAAAGAAAGTCTTTTATCAAATTGTCCCTCCGTGAATTCCCAACCTTTATGTCTAATTTAAGCACTGCTAAAAAGTGCGTTATTGTTATCAGAATATGATACATAGATCAGAATTCTATTAAATTCATCACTTTTTTGCGGAAATGGTTCGACAAAGAGAAAAAAACGTAGATGGCATGCTCTTAGCATAAGAATTCGTTTTTCTCTTGCTAAGCAGAGGCTGAAGAATTTATTATGCGTGCTAAATCCAAGAAAAAACATAATTGCCACATTGTCTCAGATTTTCTAATTTTTACATTTTCAGGCAATGTTCACACTATTTCATCTGAAAAAGTCGCATCACTTCCAATTTCTCGTCTGGATCGTTTTTGCCGATCTCACCACATTGCTCATTATTCTTGTAGACATTATGTCACAGTCGTTATTCATCGCCATGAAAGGTTTGTTTATTTGCAGTTCGTTACTTTAAGTAGGAAGTTCACCATCACAATAGCGAACTTCCTGGAAAAAACCTCGTAGATTTTGCGGTCTGCTAGTCATTTAGGAAAATCGAGAGCAAATTTGTTATGATTCACTTCCGTTTTTGATGTTAAACAGCCTATCATCTGGGTAATTTGGCACTGAAAGAAACTAACGTTTTTGGCAATTTAGCGGAAATAATAAATACAGTGAAGGTTAAAAACACAAGAGTACATTTACCAACCTTACTAGAGTAACTCCTAATCAAATACAGAAAAGTAATAATAGAATTGTCAGATATGAAACATCAAAGGCAAATCACGGAAAATGGATAAAGAAATTCCAAAAAAAATTTTAGTAAACGCAGAATTTCTACAACTTTGAGCTTTCATATTTTACATCTTAGCTGGGGGAAAAAGTTGATTGAAAAAAAAGTAAAATTTTCACGAAAACCGTTTTGGGCTGTTGATTTGAATGGAATACGAAGCAGTAATCCAGAATTTTTTTCTCCAGGGAAAGCGGAGGAGAAAGAAAGATGATGAATGTATCTACAAATAAACCTGGGACCTTAATTGCTTAGTGGAGGCTTTTGGAATACTTTGTATTTAGCTGAGTTGTAACGAAGTAACTCTCCAGTAATTTTTAGGCAGGAATTACTCTTTATATGGTAAAATTTTTATTGTCATCAACAAGCAAGCAAACGCGGCCCAAAATTTTTTGGATAATCTCAGAAATTTACTTAACCTTTCACAATTTTTTTTCAGGACCGATCCTTTGCAAAGTGTTGGTGTTCATCTCCAACGCTGCTGCCTGCTTTGTTAACTGGGTATGGTTAGTGATGTTCGTGCAACGATGTGCTGCCATATTGTTCCCGTTGAAGAGGTTGGTGCAAGTTATCGCAGAATTTGAACCAAACAATCAAAAATATGAATGCAAAAAATAGTGGACGAGAAAATCTCCATTTTCCAAACACAGTAATCGATTGGGTGGCCGTTGCTTTATTACTTTTTGGGTGCATATAAAAAATGGCGATTCATTTCCGTCAAACCTTTGGATTTCATTGGCATCCAGTCCAAAAAATTTCTTTGAATAAATCTGAGAATCTTTGGATTTCTGTATAATTCTTAGGTGATGGAATTTCGATCAAATTTTGATATATTTCTTAGCTCTCTTTTTCGACGCTAAAGGTATTAAGGACCTCAATACCTTTACAGTCCAAAGCGTTCTTAGATCAAAGTGCCGCCACAAAGAGTGCGAGAACCATATTGAGAAAGTTGTTGAAAAGATAAAACAAAAGAAGTGGAGGGAAAGCACAAAAGAAGTAAAAAAGTTTGAAGTTACTGAAGTACTAAAAATCTTGCTGGCTATGTGGGTCTTTGCTGCAACGATCATATCGCTGGGTAGACCGTTCTTTTCTCTGGGTATGAAGCGGATTTGTGATTTGTGGAAGTTTTCGGAGTCTTTCGGAATAAAAAAAAGCATGACAGAATTCTCGCGCTAATCATTAATTTGGTATGCTTAACGTTTTGTAGAACGATTTTCATTATATCCAAAAGAATGGAATGTGCATAGTTCATACAGTAGCTTTTTTGGCTCATTCCGTAAACTCTTGGTCTCCAGACGATATCAAATGGGTCATTTTTTCCTCTAATTTTTATTGCTACTCATAGGATGAGCTCAATGCTCCCTCATAAATTTTCATCATCTATAATAGGTGACCTGCAGGGCTCGGCACGAGCTGGCACCAAGGAAATTTCGAAACGATGCCCTTTGACCAGAACCCTAAACGTAGCTCTCAAAAAACGAAAAGTCGACTAAGGAAAAAACGTCGCAATTTTTTTTATCTTTTCGGCCACAAAACGATATCCTCTTTGCTTTTTGTCCTGAAAATGATATCCAGTTTGACACGGTGCCAGCTGGGTCGAGCCCTGGGCTTGATATAGGGGTGCTTTGATGACAAACAATTTCTTGTCTGAAAAATACTCTCGGAATGCTGGGAGAATCGAAATTTATTATGACAATAATCGCAAATATATCGATCCAGATGTAATTATTTCAGAGATCGACGAGGATTTTTCGGCATATTGCTCAATACAAAGAAGTTAATACTCATCACTGCCTTGCTGTCAGTTGTTACTCAGGTAAAAGTTTGAAAAATTCCCTGACGGACTCCCTAAGGATCTATTTTAACCACTAAATTTATGTCAACACATAGGCTATCAATTACATACATAGACAGCTGTCCTTTCGTCTTGTTCCTGTTTGCGTTGCTCATCGTCCCTCAGCACCCAAAAAAGCCTGTGCTTCTTGGGCGGTGACTTTTGTGCTTTAATATTTAGTAATGATGGTGCTTGTTATTCATCAAATTTTTTTCATTATGGCAGTGTCAGAAATTATATAGGAAGTAACACCTCGCTTAACAATGCATCGAGATCAAACATAAATGAAGCAAAAATGAAGAAGTTTTTGTATGTTCAGCCTTTAATTCCTTGTTTACTTTTTGGCTTTAACTTTCTATTTCTTTCAGTGCTATATCAATTAAATTTCAGAGCTTCAGTCGCAAAAAAAAGTAAACTGGAATTTTTTTAGCTCTTTCCATAAATGAGGTGTGAACATAAAATATGAACATAGGATCGAGAGATCAAACTCTCCTACAGTTCCGAAATGTTAGAAATAGAACCATATGCACTCTGCTTTATTAACTGCTTTTTTACATGGCATGAAACATTAATAAGTTCAAATATAACCACGGGATTTCTTTCTACAACATATAGATTATGTCTACAATCTGATGATTTCCCTTATAGAGCAATAGAGCAGCTTTTATGTAATGGCTACTTCTTTTGAGATTTGAATACTATATACGTAATGATTGTGAAGTAAGTGATAATGAAAATACAATCAGTTGACAAGAACGCATTTTTTTCTACATGAAAGGCAAAAAGGGCCTAGGCAAAATTTTCACTATTTCATAAGAAGGGAAAAAGATTTACTCACAGGTGTATGCACCAGAAAGATTTTTTTGGTGTATTTGAATCTTATCTCTGCTACAATCACTTTTTACTGCGCAACTAATTTTTCCTCTTTCAAAATGTTACACCGATGCTAAAAAAAATTTTACCATTAAGACATGATAATGTTGAGGGTAAGAGGTGGGAGAAAAGGAAGAGAAGCAAAAAAGTCGCAGCGTTATTTTTCTATGTCAATGAAACTGTATTATCATATTTATAGTAAACTTTCGCTATTCATGCTGTAAATAAAGTAGTTACACAAATCCGATTTCCAAGTTTCGAAAGCAAGGACATATGTACGCACGAAATTTTCCAGCTATTCGCTCTAATGGTAAAATAATTCTCTTTTGTACCAACCTCAAAAAATTGCTATGAATAGAATGTTTTCCTCGCGAAATCTTGAAAACCCCGGAGTAGACGCAAAATAATTCAAGGTTTTTCAGAGTTGGCCATTGTTGCTTGTCACAGAACGATATGTCTCGACAGGAGATGGGCTTATTGCTGTGACGTGCGAAAGGGACACTAGGATAATGAGGTACGTAAAAGTATTCCAGAGTATGTGCTTGTCACGGCAGATGCCACATGCAAATGTAAAAACAGGGCAATTTTGAGAATTATGAAAATCGCAGTGGCAGTTTACGCACATCGTTATCGTTAGGAGAAAAAAGTTGATGTGCTTGCGTAGAAACCTAGAATTTGGAACTTTACTTAGGAGGGAGCTTTTAGGGGTTCGGAAGGGGGTGGATTACTCATAGGGCTTCAAAAAGTAAGATTATATGCTAGATTTGCAACCTAGTTCTCACATAATGCTCAATCACCATGATCTAGTGAAAATGCACACTTTGCGCCTAAGGTGTTATATTAGCACGTCATAGCGTCAAAGCTATTTTCGTTCCACAAAACACTAATGGCGTACACTTTGCCTCATGACATTTCCACAATTACGGTAATATGAAATTCCAAATAAGGGGTAATTTTTCAGAAAAAAGTTTTTCCGTGCGTTAGAAGTGATTACTCATTTTGATATATTCATAAGTATGGAGGAAGGGGAGTATAGAAGGATGTTAATCAAAAATAACCATCTTTTCGTCATTTTAACTCCAACTCCAACAACTCCCTCTTCCAAGACAATCGTTTATCCCGTTTCCTCCCCTCTCTCTCCCCCCCCCCCCTCCCCCGTTCTTTCTCCCTTTTCACCAAACAGAACATTTCTGTTTTTATTTGTCCATAATACACTCCGATACTTATTCAAATTCAATTGTTTCAGCGACCAAGGGTACAGATGGGTAGCGCTGTTCGAAGCCCTCGTCACCTACCTTTGTCCATTTCTCTGTACAATCAGTGCTGATGCGTTAGTTCTTTGTTGGGGACAGAAAAGCAATAAGTAAGTCGAGCTTTACTCATTCAAACTTCCCTTTTTATTTGTACGATCGCTAACTGTTTCCTTACTACGTCTATTCTAGGTTTACTGTAATGTCAAGCGACTCAGTCTGTAAGCACGACCTACTGCATGAGCCAATGGATGGACTTAAGATACAGTCTAGGGAAAGCATTCGAGTAAGCTGTCAAACTGATCATAGTATTTTTTATTTTCTTTAACAATAGTCACCTAAAAATAAATTAAAAATGCTAAAAACCAAGAGCTAAATCCACATTTTTGTCTGACCTCTGAGGCACACTCCATAGTTGATACACTTGATCAACTTCATTATTGGTCAAGTCAGTGAGATGGCCAATAGCGGGGCGGAAGTCCGCCTGCTCTAGTAATTAACTTCATCCACTTCGCTATTGATCACTTTTCTAATTTGACCATTAGTGAAGTAGATCACAAGTGGATCAACTTTGGCGTGCGCCTAAGTCAAAGCTACCGTATCCGCCACTTATTACCGTAATCACTTCAGATGAGCCATCTGCGACGACAACGAGCAATTCGCAGATGTTTATTTATGGCTACGATCCAAGTGATTCTTAATGCTCCTTACTACACTCTACAGCTCATCGACGAGATCTACTCGCTACAGTAAGTATTTATTTTCAAATTTTATTTTTGAATCACACGGTCATAATCACTTTGTTTTAGAAAGACCCCATCCGGTCTCATTCCGTATTTGTATATGGACGCTGTTTTGTACTTGCTATATCTCTGCCAATTTCCGCTAGTTTCGCTTTACATTGCTACGCTCTACTCGGATATGAAAGCAGTAGACAAGTGAGTTTACACATAACACAGATATATATAGGAAATTACAACCTAAAGCAATCTCAGCAATTCTGTCAGGGTTTATGGCACAAAGAATGACCTTAGTAATTATTTCAATTCTTGTTGGCGTTATGGCTCGCGAATTGTGGAACTTTTGCCAGTGAATTTTTTGAGCAAGATAATTAAGAGCTCCAAAAAACCTTGCATTTCGATTTGTCATGCGAAAAGGAAACTATATGGAAACTCCTTCCGCAATACCATAAGCTACCGTAATTTGCGCGGCTTGCAAAATGAATACGACGCATTTGATCTACCAATAAATGCAACAGAAAGAAGACGTTTTCTTAAAAGGGTTTTGCTAGAAAAGAAAAGATATCTTCGATGCTAGCCATGCTTTCAAAGCTTTATACTAAATCACAGCAGAATATTTGTTTTGAGGTTCTAAAATTTAATCCTATTTTTGTGCAAAACTGCCAGAGTTTCCTGACTCTCTTTTGAATGCTTGACTCATGATTTCGAAACAAATCTTACTTAGTCTTTCTAGTTGTCAGATTACGCAGAACTTCGCACCAAGCATTATGTAAGCTCTTCAATTTTCCAAATTAGCTCATAGATGTAGAAAACTCAATTTATTTTATACCCCTACTTGTTGACTTCACTTGTTTGAGAAAATTACGATTTGGGCTAAATCAAGCATCCAGATATATTAAATTTTTCAGAACCAAACGTATGCACTCATCTTCCATCTCAACGCATCAGAACAGTGTACGATACGAGCGAAAACCCGTCAGTGAACTTCGCAACAACGAAGTTTGTCAGCAAGATGAACAAGCCAGTTGTCTCCAGAATTGCGAATAGACGGACCATCATAGCTGTCTGCGGGACCAGCCAACTTTACTCAGGTTTTCTAGCCATAGATGAGCTTTTTTGTAGTGTGTTATCTCGTGTATTTTCACTGTACCATTTTCATAATGCAAAGAAATTGATTCGGGTATACTGTAATAATCTTTCTTATGATCGACTCATAAATGAAAATTTCTCTTATTATGTTCATTTGTACAGTGGTGATGGAAAAATTCAAAGGAACTTTGCGTCTTCACAGAAGACAAGACATGGAGGAGGCGGAGCGCGTACCAACTTCTTTATTGGCCTAGCTCAGCGAGTGTTCGATCCAGAGCGTTGATTGTCTGAAGACAAATAATGCAGCGATTTCTAAGGAAATCCAGAGGAAAACTTACATCATATAGGTTCTGTTTATTGAAACAAAGAGGTGGCTTGATCTTGAGGATATTCGTGTAAGGACCATCAGCGTTTAGCAGGACTCCCCGTTCCTTTCTCAGTTTCAAAATCAATGCGAGGGCCAGCTTTTGATCCGCTTCACGACTTTTCCGATCCTTGACAATATCGATACCCCAGAAAAGACCAACTCCCCTGAAAGCAAAAAATTTGGTCACCAGGAAGTTTTTTACATTTTTCTAAAATAAAAACAGGAAGATGTTGAACTTTAGATATAGTTGGAAAATCTTTTGACCTACCTAACGTCGCCTATGCAATTGTATTTTGCCTTCAGGGCATTCAGCTCCTTTTCAAACAGTTCACCCATTTCTTGGCTATGATCTAACAATTTCTCATCTCTCACCACCTTCATCACGCTCAAAACTGCAGCACATGCCACTGGATTTCCACCGTACTAAAAAAAATTGTTCGCTTCACCGTAATCCTACAATAGCACCACAACTTACCGTATTGAAATACCCGACTTGTCCACCGAGTTTATCGGCAATTTTCTTCGTTGTAACCACAGCCGAAACCGGAAATCCGTTACCCATAGGTTTACCCATAGTGACGATATCTGGGCAGAATCCTGAAAAAAAATATTTTGGTAATGTAATCTTGGGGTTACGGTATGCTTACCATCATCGTAGAGCTGATGAGCCCAGTATTTCTTGCCAACACGACCGAATCCGGTTTGTACCTCGTCAATCACCACAACACCACCGTGATTGCGGACATGTCTTGAATGAAGGAATATTACCGTATTTCAGCAACTTTTTGGTCCTCATTGTCATGGAATGAGCTCGATTACGTCTACTTACCTGGCAACATCCAAGAAATATCCTTCTGGAGGTATGACCTGACCACCGCATGATTGCAAGGCTTCAGCAAAGTACGCAGCTATCTTTCGGCCATTTCCTTCAGCCTAGAATCTTATATATAAAGCTGAATGTCTGTTTGTCTGTCTGTCTGTCTGTATGTCTGTCTGTCTGTCTGTCTGTATGTACGTATGTTCCGAATAGAAAATTCCATTTCTGAACCGATCCGGACCAAACTTGGCACACATACACTACGGGCCCCGGCGGGTGTCATAGGCTACTTTTCGTCATCGATCGATATCGATTTTATCGATTTTATCGATTTTTTTGCAAAGTTTGAGCTACGGGGCTGGGAGTTGGCACAGGGGGGTAATCGAGCATGGGGATTCCGAATACAATATTGGTTTTCGGGATTATCGATTACTTTTATCGATTTTATCGATTTTTTTGCAAAGTTTGAGCTACGGGGCTGGGAGTTCGCACAGGGGGGGTAATCGAGCATGGGGATTACGAACAGGGTAAAGCGGGGGGTGCGGCACGCCGCAGAGGGGGGGGGGGTCGTATTGAGGAGTCAAAAGGGGAGGGGGTCGTAGTTAGGTGATCTGATTATAGCGATAACATGATATTCGTATCATATCCATAATTAGCACGTCAATTAACCCCTGTAGACAAAGTGTGAGCGAATTCTGAAGATTCAAGATACTAGGCTACCTAAGTGAAATGGTCAAATTCCAACATGGTTAACTTTGTTTTAAAGGTGAATTAGCTATCCGTTCTTGCACTCAAGACAGAGCACTACTCATTCTTTGTCCACCTCAGGAATCTCGCTTCAGAAGACCTCCAAACTGTGGAATTAGAAGCCAACCAAAATCTCATTTTTCCCATTTTTCGCTTTTGATGGCTGTGCTTTCACCAAATATTACTCAGAGCTAAGAAGACGAATCAGGCTCAAAACATCCTTATGGAATCTACGAGGTTTAGGCTATCGAATCATATAAATATTTTCCGCTAAAAATGTTTTTTTGATATAGTTAATGGCCTGCGGCACCCCTGCGGCACCCCTGCGGCAGCCGCAGGTTTTGAGGGGGGGTGCCGCAGGCCATTAACTATATCAAAAAAACATTTTTAGCGGAAAATATTTATATGAATCGATAGCCTAAACCTCGTAGATTCCATAAGGATGTTTTGAGCCTGATTCGTCTTCTTAGCTCTGAGTAATATTTGGTGAAAGCACAGCCATCAAAAGCGAAAAATGGGAAAAATGAGATTTTGGTTGGCTTCTAATTCCACAGTTTGGAGGTCTTCTGAAGCGGGATTCCTGAGGTGGACAAAGAAGGAGTAGTGCTTTGTCTTGAGTGCAAAAACGGATAGCTAATTCACCTTTAAAACAAAGTTAACCATGTTGGAATTTGACCATTTCACTTAGGTAGCCTAGTATCTTGAATCTTCAGAATTCGCTCACACTTTGTCTACAGGGGGTATTTGACATGCTAATTATGGATATGTTGTCCATTATGTTTGACAGAGCCTTCAGGTAATACTATCTTAAGTGTATAGTTTAGGAGGGGGGTCGTATTAAGACAGCAATCAGGGGGGGGGGGGGTCGTATCCGACGGTCGAGTGCCGCACCCCCCGCTTTACCCTGATTACGAACACAATATTGGTTTTCGGGATTATCGATTACTATTATCGATTTTATCGATTTTTTTGCAAAGTCTGAGCTAGGGGGCTGGGAGTTGGCACAGGGGGGTAATCGAGCATGCTGATCACTCCCCTTGGGGGAGTAATGGACGATCCTGAAAACTAATATTGTGTTCGTAATCTGCATGCTCGATTACCCCCCTGTGCAAACTCCCAGCCCCGCAGGTCAAACTTTACAAAAAAATCGATAAAATCGATAAAAGTAATGGACGATCCTGAAAACTAATATTGTGTTCGTAATCTGCATGCTCGATTACCCCCCTGTGCAAACTCCCAGCCCCGCAGGTCAAACTTTACAAAAAAATCTATAAAATCGATAAAAGTAATGGACGATCCTGAAAACTAATATTGTGTTCGTAATCAGCATGCTCGATTACCCCCCCTGTGCAAACTCCCAGCCCCGCAGGTCAAACTTTACAAAAAAATCGATAAAATCGATAAAAGTAATGGACGATCCTGAAAACTAATGTTGTATTCGGAATCCCCATGCTCACTTCCCCCCCTGTGCCAACTCCTAGCCCTGTGGGTGAACTCTGCAAAAAAATCGATAAAAATCGGTAAAATCGACATCGATCGATAACGAAAAGTGGACTGTGACACCCGCCGGGGCCCGAAGTGTATGCGTGCCAAGTTTGGTCCGGATACGGCGGAGCCGGGTAAGCCAGCTAGTTAATCATATTGATTAAGCAAGGAACCCCTTCAATATCCTTGAATCTGAACAGAAATTCATGGAATTACGTAGTTGGCTCGTACGAAGTTTTTTCCGCGGAAAAGGAAAAACGAGGGAGTTCATTGTTGAGCGCAGGTTTTATGCAGAAGAGAATTTGTGCATAGAATTGGAATCCCCATTTTGTTTGGACAGTAATTATCACGCTGTTAAAAACCTAAAAGTTTCTGCATGTATAATATAATAGATCTAGTCTTCAAAATTACTGGTTAAAAAGTCCAAAAGTTCAAAAAACAGTTCCTCATAGAATTTGAAATTTCCTTCCCCTTATACTAACTCACAGAATCCTTCCCAAACTCGGCTTTTTTCTATTAGGTTGTAAAGAAAGTTCCCGGGCACTTGCGAAAATTTTTTTCAAATCGCTGTAACTTCAAGCAGATTGATTCTTTTTCAAAGCTACAAACTTCCTTGCAAAGATAATTTTGGCTACAACATATATTTGTCTTGGTGGCTTCTAGCACCTCACTGCGGTCCACCAGCATGCGCAGAAGGGAAAAAGGTCGTCGCGAAAAGTGGTCTATTTGTGCAGGATTATTTCAGGCAAGATGAGAGCTGGAAAGCCCAGATGCTATAGTTATATAGAGGTCTGCTGGGGCTGTTATGAGGACCATTCATATCTTCAAGGGGCCACCTGCAAAAATTTTTTTCCAGAAAGTTTGAAAAATCGACCATTTTTTGCCCCTAAAAATGCACCATTTTTCGAGTAAGTGACTTCGAAGTTTTGTCGTTCTGCATAGGGCGCACCAAATCTTTGATTACTGCGATTATTGTTGGGGTAATGCCTCACACATCTTCTGGACCCATCGTCCAGGCGTGACGGTCCCGCAGAAGCGACGCCAGCTGCGAAAAGAGTTGCAGTCAGAGACAAGTTCGACAGCTTGTAATTTCTGAGCAAAAATCGCAAAAATCGAGTGCAGCTGCGGGCTTGAAATCAACAGGTTCCTCAATCAGATCACTTACAATTTGGACGAATTATTTTGAACTGCACGAAAAAATGGCCGTAGGAAGAAACCAAAAGATTTCTCTTCTTGACGTGCAGATCGAACACGTCTTGGAATCGATAAAAGTCAGAAGGCGTATTGAAAACTTCAGGCTTAACTCTACCGAACAGTATAAAAAACTGATGGCAAAGTCGACCGAGCGCCGAAAAAAATGCGTTTGAAAATGAAATTTCCAAAAGTGCCCGGGAACTTTCTTTACAACCTAATATAAAAAGACTGGAATGAATAATTTTGCTCTTCTTACCTTTTCGATGATATTTGTCACAGCATCTGAATAGTGCACCCCAGCTTCTTTTAATTTCTCTTTATCGTTAAGGTCTTCGTCAGACAGGCGATACTCTCCTCGGTACACATCCGGGCATGGGGCCTGGAACGTGACGATAATTTTGATAATGTTTTAGAATAGTTTAAGTAAAAGTAAACTCACCACATGAACCCATTCTGGTTGGGGTAGCGACGAGCCGTGATCGAATTTGTATGGCGACATTTGCATCGTTGTCGTTACGTGACCATGATACGCACTGAACTTTTGTTATCCGAAAATGATCTGACGGGAAAAGAAAAAATTTAGCTAGAATTTCGCAGTTCAAAATCTTGGTCAAATTATAACGAAACAATGCCACATTTCTTAACCCCATATTGACCCATTCTGATTGAGAGAAAGTTTCATGCCCTTAGCTTATCATGCAAAGGTCAGACCCGTAATTTGATATCGACAGTACTTTGAACTTTCTTTGTGATTGACCAGACCAAAGGAGTAGTAAACAACTCACTGATCAATGACGATAGCATCGGTGTGTCCGGTGTAATCACGGGCCAGTCTAAGCGCCAAATCATTTGCTTCCGACCTGAAGAATTGTTGGTAAGATCTAGGTTTCTTCAAGAGTTGTTTGGTCAGTTGTGGATTGTCTGGGCATTTTTGATGTCATTACACAAACTGGTAAGGGATGGCCGGTAACCGAAAGAGACAGTCAGTTGGCAATTCACTGTTCATGCTCTTAAGTGACGATGACAATGACAAAGCACGACGAGATGGTGTGGAGAGGATGTTTAAAGTTATTACGTCGTATCTCAGCTTCTCAGCTTATTCAACTAATTGAACCTACCCAGAATTGCAGAACAGAACTGTGTCAAGCCCTGGTAGAGTCTTTAGCAGCTCCTCAGCACAATCGGTCAGTTTTTGGCTAACAAATCGTACGTTGCAGGTGGAAGTGGCCAGCTGCTTACTAATTGCTTCGACGACTTGTGGGTGGCAGTGCCCAACTGAAATATGTATTTTTTGAATATTTTTCCCATATCCTTGTGTCTTAAACCGCAAGAGAAAATTTTGCTGCAAAAATCAAACGAATCAATTAGATCAATAAACCACGAATGTATACTCTTCGTCATAAGCAGAGCACAATGAAAAATACAAATTTAATTTCTTCTTAAAATGAGGATAAATTCGGTCCCACTTTCGCCCATGGTGGTTTCACTACTTTGCATTATCTTCAGTAATTTTGTGGAAAATACCTGAAAATTGCGCATGTGGCCTATGATCTATGATTTGAACAGTTTTTATTTAACCATGAAGCGGTTTTACAAAGGAAATCGTGGCGGACATCTTCCTTTTTACAAAATTCAACATTTTCAAAGATGGACTTCGCACCTAATCGACGTTTGCTTGCTTGTGATATACCCATTTTGGCATTCGACTTCCTTCGTGTCAATAAATAAATCTATTTGGGATTGAATTTGGATCCACTGCGTTTTTGAAAATGATGAATTCGGGCTAATCCAAGGCACGCAACTTACCATGCTGTACGTTGCTGATGCAGTCGATGTACTGCTTTCCCTCTTCATCATACAGGTACTGCATAGAAGCCTTTGACACCATAAATGGATCGTCTTGATAGAAAATTTGACATTTCGACCTGGAAAGTGAAGGTTTCTCTTTCTATACATGTAGGAACCATTTTACAGCTTCCTTGTTCAGTCATTGATGATAACAGTAAACAAGACAACATTACACTGCGTGCAGCTATCTACTCGACTGTAATGATGAATGACCGTTAGAGATAACCAGTTATGCGGTAGCACACTACGAAGAAGATTAGGAAAGTAATGGTTTCAAGGAGATAAGCTACGACTAAAGAACTGTTGATTCCGCATTCCTAACTTGTGAGAAGAAACTGGGAATGGGCAGATATGACATTAGGCTTGCTGATCTTGAGGTTATCTTTCCCACTCATAAGGCATTCGGATGTCGGAATATGTTGCTACTCACGAAAATACGAGAAATCCACAGGACAAGCAAAACTTAGTAGTTTTGCAGATTTTTGTGCAGGAGTGCATTCAAAAATGGGAACTTTCGCAGGAGATGACTTCACACTGATTAGAATTGAAATCTTCCGCAGCACCTTCCATAAACCGCTGCGGAAGTTTCCAAAAATGTCAGTTATCTGGCAGTTACTGGCAGCATTTTGGCTTTCTATCATTTTCGCGAGATTTCTAGCGCGTTCATTCATCCCATTCTCAGGGACTTCCTCAAGACTTTTCAGGGATTACCTATTAATCCGGCGGGACTTCAACAAAAGTTTTGCGGAACTTCCCACTGATTGTCTGAGTAGCTACCACGTTACGTTCTACGGAACTTTTTTTGCAGTTTTTGGCATATGGCATAAGTTAAAATATGGCCACCTATGCGACTGAAGGGCTTACGTTTAGTTTGAAGTTGGACTTAGTTAATCTCAAGTTCCTGTTGAAAGATTTGAGAAATAGATCTAAGCCCTGAATCAAGACTGCGCTTTCCTCTCGATTTGTAACCATGTGAGCCTTGAGCGGACCTGTGTATCTTGAATTTTCTCTTTTGTTGATATTCTTCATTAATACCTCTCTCTGCATAAGCTAGCATACTATCTCAAGGAACCGAAACCTATCGAACGTTGCCATAGAAACCTAGTCGAGCCCTCTCCTCGGTTACATTCATTCGAAAAATAGATGATGAATTGGCTACAAATGGACTGAGAGGGGATGGGGATGGGGGGGGGGGGGGTAAATTTAGATCATCACACAGTCATCTATCAATCAGCATTCATCATCATTTTTCTTTGTTATTCAACCAGATGTAACTGGGAGACACTTTAATGTCAACAGAATCGAAAGATCATTAGTATACTTATATCTAGAAATTGCTAGGTTTTCTATGTGAAAGACCTAGAAATGTTCTGAATGAAATGTGAAATTTTCAAGACCCACCCTATCAAATCCTTCCTCTTCTTTAGCACCTCCTCCTTTGATCGAACCTCCTCAGCAATATCCACCTTTGTGCCGAAAGTGAAATAGCCAAAAGCATGCAATAGTCGGTCCATTATCCTAGAACGAACTTCGTTCAGACTCGACGCAGAAAACATCAGAGCAATGAAAAATCGAACAGAACTATGGTTAAGTTAAGCTACAGCATGTAGCAGACCGTTGAACGATGAATAACAGCTGTTTTCTCAGTGCACATGGAGGAAGGGAGAGGAGGGGAGGGGAGGTTGCGTTGAAGGAGATGTTTTTGTCCAGGACAGATGATTGTCATTGCAGCATTGGCATTCAAAATATAGCTAGGGACGGAGAGAGGGCAGTTTTTGTGAAAATGGGTGGAAATTTAGAATCATTTGCTTTGCTATATTTTGACACAGGGGCAAATAAGAACCTCCTCCATACCTTTCGGAAATCACTGGAACCCTATAGATTTCAGCAAAGGAAGAGGTGACTGGTAAACCTGATTACGTATGCAAAACGAAAAAATACGCAGTTGAAGTCCTTGGGACGTAGTAGAAGAGAATTTTAGAGAGCATGAATCAGGTTTATTTGGTAAATTAGTTAAAAAAACTTCTTCTTTGAAACGTGGTTCAAACAATTTTTTTGAAGGCTAACAGAAGCATTTTGAATTGATCTAGAAAAAATGCTGCTCAACGTGGCCCAAGTAAAATTTTTGAGTGGGTGAAAATCGGAAGCTCGTAGTCTAAAAATTCTGCTTTATTTGGAACGCGGCACTAGGAAATTTTCTAAAACCCGAAAATCACAACTTTTGCAAGTGTTCTGAAAGAGATGCTGATTCTTTGGGAAGTGACCCAAGAGAATTATTGGGCGCTGATAATCAGAAAATTCTTCAAAAGATCTAGAGGATGCTCCTTCTTTGGAGTTTAGCCTGAGAGAATTTTTGAAAGGCTAAAAAACAGAATTTTTTTCGGAGTAGGGAAAAGATGCTGCTTCTTTAAATGAAAGCTCAAGCAAAAGCTGATCAAATTGTGCAAGGGTCTGGAAAAAAGCTGCTTCTTCGAGAAAGTGGTTCAAGAAAATTTTGAAGGCAGAATATTAGAAATTTCTTCGAGAGATCTAAAAAAAGCGCGGCTTCTTCGGAAATTTGGCCCAAGGAAATTTTTTTAGAGATTTAGAGACAGGAAATTCTTGGAATGACATAGAAGAAATACTACAACTTGAGAAAAAAGCTCAGAAATTCTAGCAAAGGCCTGACAAGCCACTTTGAGGAGCCTAAGACCTAGGCCAGATCAATAAGACGTCGCAAAGAGTTTGCACTTAGCCTGGAGTGCTTCAGAATCAGCTCAGCTGACGGCCTTTTCTACCCGAAAGTAGGCGTGTTCGCCTCGCATGCATTCCTGCGTCTCCGCAATCTCTCCTTTTCCTTTTCGCCTCCTCGTATCTCCACAGCCGAGAGAATGATTTGCATTTCATCGTTTGCTAGCGAATTTCTTGGACAAACACTGCTAGCACGTGGATATCGCGATAGCGAGGAAGTGCGGGAAGAAGGGAGGTTAGCATAGGTGCGATAGGGGGAGCCGGGCTCTCCCCAGGTGAAGGGGGTCTCGGCTGTTTCCGACCTTCCAGGGTGAAGGGGGTATGTGAGTCTAGGGGGGGGGGAGGAAGAGAGAAAAGGTAAAAAAGCGTGGTATGAAGAGCTCTAATTTGTACCTTATTTAGGCACAAATTGAAAAAAAATTTAAAATTTTTCAAAAGAAATTGAAAAATCAAAAAAAATTGATTATGAAGATCTGTGCTCCTGTTTCACTGCATCAACAAAAAACGAAAGCAATAATGTTTATCCCAAAAAATGTACAAGTTAGGAACAACTTCATTTCCTGCACATCATCATCAACAATATCACTATCGCTAACGTCAGAGACAACAAGTTCGCTGCCTGAAAAATCTTCTTCTTCCTCCAAAAGGTCATCGGAGTAGAAGTAGAATTGCGTGCAAAAGCGTTCTGAGTCGAAAATGGATTTGAAACTTTCTTCTTCTTTTAAGCGGTTTTGTGATTTTTTTTCGTGGCCCTCTGGTAGCACCAGGAAGTCAGCAGGTAGGTGACCAGTTTCTTCATACCTTCTTTTAGGATATTTCAAAAAGTCATACGGTAACAGCCTGTCTGGACCACTTATATCAATCCTTTAAATGAAGTTTTCAGATAACAATGGTAGAAGGTTGACAAATCTTAAGTATTTGCTTAGATGCTCTATCGTTGTACGACTTCTGCGTTGTGTTCTGATAATAGAGTAGATAGAAAATTTCTTTCTCTACCTCTGCCGTGCTAGTCGGAATGGAAACTAGCTTTGCTAGTAGGCCCATCAGATTTTTGCGGTAAGTAATGGGAAAAGAGCCAAATCTCATATGCTTTCGCAACACGGGAAGGAAATAGTGTACTTTTTGGGCCTTGTCGAACTCTGGCTTCACCTCCTCTGGCATACGTCCTGTTAGCTGATCAGAAAGCTGCTCAACTTCTTCTTTAACAGCATCTGCGGAATAGCCGAAAAAAAGGAGGTACTATGCTGCGCGTTGGTTTTTTTTTCAATATCATAGGTCATATTGTCACAAGGCGAATAACTTTCAAAAGCATAAAGCACAGAGTTGGGTTCGCACTCCAGCCGGGATCTAAGCGCAGTAACTATGCTTTATACTAACACCTTCCTTTTGTTCATATCCATGTTTGTGAATTTAGCAGCCTTGAATTCTTCAGCAACCTGAAGATCAGCAATGGACTTCCTGGACATTTCCTCATTGAAACTAGACAATCTGCTTGGATTCCTTATGCAGGAAATCAGAGAGTTTCACTCAATTGCCAACTCTGTATCAATGTCGACAACATTTTCGTCGGCGTAAGATTCTCCTTCTGCCTCGCTGTTGAACTGGAACACATGCGAGTCATCTGCGATTTTGTAAAGTATTCTGCCTGCCATTTTTCAAACTGCCAACCTTTCCAAAACATTGAGGAATATTTTAATAACATGTTATTCTTCTGAATGTCTTAGAGTTTTTAATTCATTGAAACCAACCATTCTCTAAAAATTAGGTAAGGTGAGTCTAGAGCGTTTTCACGAAAGTGACCTTCTTCAGCACTAGGTTTACAGAGTATAGATTCCAGAAATGGGCGGGTTTTGTGTGAAGGTGTGGAAATTCGCCAATCTCCCATAGTTTTTTGAGTGTGTGCTAACAATGATGGCATAACTGTCAATCAAAAGCGCATTTTTTACCAAAAAAACGTAAACATATAACAACGATAAGCACGCTCAAATAGACGCGTTCGCTCACGTTCCCGTTAGTGCTGATAACGATTTCAATCCACAGCACATTTTTTACTATTAACTTGCTCCACCTCGCTCTTATTAGGTCGTCCAGAAAGTTTTTGCACACGAATTTCAAAATTCATAACTTCTGATTTTTCCAACCGATTTGACTGCTTCTAATTTTATGTGAAAGTGTAAGCCATGCTCTTTATAATGACATCTCAGCTGCTTAGTAATGGTCATCTGTTGCATAGATAGGAGCGATAGAAGAAAAATGGTAAAAATTTTAAATTTCTGTGTAGGTATAAAAAATCGGAGACTTGCAACAAAAATCGGAGCAGTCAGTACTGTAGGTTCTTTCACCAGCTCTTTCTAACAGTGCAAAGTTTGCGCCGATTGAGCGTCTCCATGAAAAGTTATGGTTTCCCTGAAGAATGCCAAAATAAATCAAATTCGCCTTTTTGTACTGCTTGCTCGGAAATTATAACTTTTCATGGAGACGCTCAATCGGAGCAAACTTTGCACTATTAGAAAGAGTTGGTGAAAGAACCTAAAATACCGACTGCTCCGATTTTGTTGCAAGTTTCTGATTTTTTATGACCCTACACAAAAATTCAAATTCCGAGTGATTTTGTTTGAGCTTCTATCTATGCAAGAGATGACCATTACTAAGCAGATGGGATGTCATTACAAAGAGCATGACTTACCCTTTCACATAAAAGTGAAAGCAGTCAAATCGGTTGGAAAAATCAGAAGTCATGAATTTTTGAAAATTGTGCTCAAAAACTTTCGGGACGACCTATACAATGTGTTGGCTTTTATGGGTTACCGGAGAAAATGATTTTTAGAGCCGGGAAGCAAAGAAGCCCTAACATGCTGTATACCATTCGAAAGCTGAGATCATGGAGAATCGACGTAGACCGTCGACTTTTTTCTAGGTCTTCTGTGCCGCGAGATATGAGGGATTTTATGTGCTTCAAAAATTAACTGATTTTGTGTCCTCACTTTCTGCTCTCCAAATGAATGCTACGAGAAAGTCGACGGTCTACGTTTGTTAATGAAGACTTGCTCTTTAACACAGATAGATAAGCAGCAGTGATTAGGTCTTCATTTGGCAGAAATCTGCTGTTGAAAATGACCATGTTTTCAGATAAAATGCAGTGTATCTCTCGGTAGAGGGGGGCTAGAAAGAAGTCGACGGTCTAGGTCGAATCCCCTTTTCCTGAGCTTTCGAATGGTATATAGGTTGCTGGGCGAAAAAACGGACCAGTTTTCAAAAATGGGGTGGAGATATTTACTATTAGCTTGCTCCAATCCGGCTCCACCAATGTATTGGCTTTTATCGGTTACCGGAGAAAATGATTTTTAGAGCCGGGAAGCAAAGAAGCCCTAACATGCTGTACACCATTCGAAAGCTGAGATCATGGAGAATCGACGTAGACCGTTGACTTTTTTCTAGGTCTTCTGTGCCGCGAGATATGAGGGATTTTATGTGCTTCAAAAATTAACTGATTTTGTGTCCTCACTTTCTGCTCTCCAAATGAATGCTACGAGAAAGTCGACGGTCTACGTTTGTTAATGAAGACTTGCTCTTTAACACAGATAGATAAGCAGCAGTGATTAGGTCTTCATTTGGCAGAAATCTGCTGTTGAAAATGACCATGTTTTCAGATAAAATGCAGTGTATCTCTCGGTAGAGGGGGGCTAGAAAGAAGTCGACGGTCTAGGTCGAATCCCCTTTTCCTGATCTTTCGAATGGTATATAGGTTGCTGGGCGAAAAAACGGACCAGTTTTCAAAAATGGGGTGGAGATATTTACTATTAGCTTGCTCCAATCCGGCTC